CTCTCTCTCTCTCTCTCTCTCTCTCTCTCTCTCTCTCTCTCTCTCTCTCTCTCTCTCTCTGTGTGTGTGTGTGTGTGTGTGTGGTGGCCCCCCGCTCTCTGGCTCGCTCACACTCTTTCTCTTCCTCCTATCGCCTTCTCCCTCCTTCTCCCTCTCCCCTACACACCAGGGGATCTCCGTACGGAATCTCCGTACGAAATCTTCGTTGTGACCGTGGCCAGCTTCCACCGGCTCGCCGACGAGATGGACCTCGCGCGGTCTACGAGTGCATGTGCGCCCCAGTATCGGTCTGATGGGAGAGAGAGAGAGAGAGAGAGAGAGAGAGAGAGAGAGAGAGAGAGAGAGAGAGAGAGAGAGAGCATACGACGACGCCGTTTACAGCAAAGCAATGCCACGTAGCTGATTACAAAAGAGCAGGGGTGCCACGTGGCAGCTAATCAAGATGTGGTGCCACGTGGCAGTCCAAAGACGAGGACCTACTATTGACGATTTGATGAGAACTTAAACCAGTTCTCATCACCACCCCACGCGCTGCCAGCATCTGGCAGTAAAGTGCGCTGTGACCCGTGCACGGTCGGTCTCAACCCGTACCACATAGTTCCTCCTCCTCAGTCAGTACACACAGAGGGACCAACTTTCCTGGTACCACCTGGGTACCCTATTTCCCCCTGGGTACCCTATTTCCCTTTAGGCACAGTCCCACTTAGGTATGTGTATGTCCATGTGGAGTGCACAATGGCACTCAATGCCACGCCAGATATGGACAATCGAATCGTATCCATCGAATCCTTACCGTCTGATCACCCTAAAAATAGTGCAACAGGTACTCATGATATCGGTTTGCTAAGGCATCACGCATCTGTACGCATTTCCCGACCAGATTCCTGCGTGCTTAGCACGCACATAGCACGCACATAGCAAACACATTGCACGCCTTGACAAGGACAGTTACCGAGCCCGGGGGCCAAGTCCCACTACGTAGCAGCGTTGAGCTACCTCAACGCCTGAATCTGGACGTGTTTGTGGAGACGTGCAGTTCAGGAAGCTCAACACCATTTCTGCACACCACCGCAATAACGTCCAGATTCAGGCGTTGAGGTAGCTCAACGCTACTACGTAGTGGGACTTGGCCCCGGGCGCCGGGTGGCGCTGCGGCCGCCGCCCAGAAACGTTTGTGAAAACTGCCTAGGGCCTCGCCACATAGGACCCAAAAAAAAAAAAAAAAAA